AGAGAGAGAGAGAGAGAGAGAGAGAGAGAGAGAGAGAGAGAGATCGAGACCCCCTCAGGTCCAGTCTCATGTTTCTCCCTCAGTGTTCCCAACCTCCTCCCTCCTTCTCTCACTAGTTCATCTGTTCCTTCTCTCCCACCTCGCCCTCCTGTCCTCTCCTCCTCTTCCTCTCCCATCATTCCATTCTTCTCTCGCTGGTTCCTCCTCTTCACTCTCTCATTCCTCCCCGGAGAGCCTTCTCACCGCAGCAGTTGAGGCGTTCGATAGAAGCTTTTAGTTTACATCTGCAGCTCACAAGAGCTGACCTGACACCACGGCCGTGTGTGTGTGTGTGTGTGTATTCTGTGTCTCACTTTACTGTTTACCGGAACCAGTGACACTAAGCTGCTATTTGCTGTGGTTAGCACATCCAGTGTGTATGTACGTACAGTATGTGTCTTTCAGGTGCGTAAGGCAGTGTTAAAGGAAGAATACGGATTCTTTACTTCGGTCGTTATTTTTGTGTTGTTTTTTTTCCAGCATATTTCGGTACTTCAGCACAGGTTTTGATACTTTGTGCTTCACACAATTCATTCAGTTCTCCAAACATCTGTAAGTTTGATTTCCAGCTGTAGCTGTGAAGCATTAGAAGTCATCGTGTGTAAAGTGTCCTCAAAGCAAGAAGTGAACAGAAAGAAGTTAAGACATATGAAAAACCGTCATTATGGTCTTCATCTAACGCTCCTTTAACACATCATGTGACGAACACTTCCGTCAGAAAAAGCAACCAAAACAAAGCTTAACATTGTGATATTTGTTCTCTCTGCATCTATCTGTGATGGTTGTGTTTCCATAGAGGTGCATGACTTATATGTTGCAGTGAAGAACGAGGCCACAGAGGGAAATGTGACCGAAGGGTTCAGAATCTTGTTAGAAAATATACTTTCACTTTCCTTGAATAATTCACTCAGACAATAGTGTGATAAATGAAGTGCCCATATATTAAATATGCTTATACGTATATTTTTATCTCTTATGTGCACATTTACTGTGCTTACACGTAGTATTGTGTGAGTGTGTGCGCTGCTCCTCTGCAGACAGCATTAAATATTCATCCTCCTGCTCGTATTTCTCCTCTCTCATCTGTCTATCCACCCTTCGCGTCCTCCCTTCCCTTCTTCCTCCTACTTTTCTAAAGCATTCCTTCCTTCCTTCCTTCTCTTGCCATCTTTTCTTTCCATCGTTTGCTGTTTGAAAGGACATGAAGTGACATGACAAGTGTAAGGAGGTAGTAATAGATAGGAAGGAATGTTAAATTAGGCTAAAGGAATTGAAAAGGAGAGTGAGTTGACAGACTTCTTCTCCTCTATCGATCAGTTCTGGACCCCCCCCCCCCCCCCCCCCCCCCCCCCCCCCCCCCCCCCCCCCCCCCCCCCCAAAAAAACCCCAGGGATTTGAATCCGTCGCTCTGTTCTGGGTATAGAGTTCAGGTCCTGTGGGGCGACTGTGTGTCTCTTGATGTCTCTGCATGTGTTAAGATGTGTACATCTGTCTGTGTTTGTGTAGTTCTGTTTAAGGTACGATCATATTCTCTGATTATTCAGGTGTGTGTGTGTGTGTGTGAGTGTGTGTGTGACAGACAAGAATAATGTGCCGTCTGCTCTGTTTGTTGCTCTGGTATCACATCCACACGTCCTCTGGGTGTCAGTGTTTGTAAGCAGGAGACTTAAAAAGGAATTGAACCGGGTTCTGTTAGTGTGTGTGTGTGTGTGTGTGTGTGTGTGAACCTATCCGAGCACAGCGAAGGGGAAATTTCAGCCCAGTTATTGATTTGGTCCGGCCCGTTTCAGGGTCAATGTGATGTCAGCGTTTGTATTATTATTGCTTTTATTGTCTGCTGCTTTTAATTCAACACAACACGATGACATCAAACCTCATTGATTCCTGTGGGTGGACGAGCTGCTGCATATCAAAATAACAACAGGACGCAGCAAAAAGCACTTCAATCAATAGAAGTGCAGGCGTTGAACACAATGAAACTGATGATTACCAACAGAAAGTTCAGTAAACTTGCAGAAATCCGTCTTAGTGCTGAACATAAGACTCTACGGCATCTCGGAGGGAAGGGTGTTGTGCTTTTGTGAGTGTATATATATCTGTTAAGGGGTTGATTTTTCGCTGATATAGAGTACTTTTCCTCAATGGTGTAGATATTGTCCTCACGACCTGTAACTCTTTCACCACCGGTGTTACGGATTGTCTCATTCACTCTCCCTCTACCTGTCTGTCTGTATAAATGTCCTTCGCCCCGTCTGTCTGTCTGGCCGTCTCTCTCTCGTCTCGTCTCTCTCTGGCGTAAACTCTCTCTGGCCGTCTATCTGCGTCTGTCTCCCGGTCCGTCCCTCTGCCCGTCCGTGTGTCTCTCCGCCTCAGTCCTGCTGCCCGTCTCTCTTTCTGCCCGTCTGTCTCTCCGGAGCCTCTCTGTCAGGATTACATGGTGTCAGGTTGGCCAACATGGACACCGGTGGTGGGGAAACAAAATGTTCCTCTCTGCACAAAGCCGCTCTAATCCCTCATCCCCCCCCCCCACCCACACACACACACACACAGCAGAACCTGATTACAGAAAGCTGGTGAACGGGCATTAGGACAGACAGACAGGACAGCACTGCATCTCTCTGTGCTGGCTGATTAACTGACTGATTAGTTGATTGGCTTTTTAACTCACTGACTTTGCTAACTGACCCAGTTTACCTGTTTTCTAATTGGCTGATTTGCTGCTGTCCAGGTGAGTGAAAGCCTGGCTGACTGCCTGTCTGATTCAATGACTCGATAACTTAAGCCAGTGGCGCTCGAGCCTGATGGCCAGTTATTTAGTCATCTAGTCAAGTAACTGCTGACTGTCTCACTTTTAGACCTGAGAAAACACGACCACAGTTAGCAAGTTACACGTCATTATTACGCCTCGATAAAGCCAATGCCATCAGCTCAACAGCCCACAATAAATCAATGGTTCAGTGTTGTATTTGTTGAAACCGTTTGAAAGAGTGTTCATGTTTGTATCGAGCAGTGTTACTATTATGTTGTCTTCTCTCTGTCATATAAATGTCAGTATGTGAAGCAAATTAAATGAAATGTTTAATGTTAAAGAATTATTTTCTGCTTATTGAAGTTTACATTTCTTAATCGTTGTCATGTTAAACATTTCTCCTCCTGTGTACGTCACTCAGAACGGTCAAATAATTTAGTCTTGAACCTGAAGATGAAAATAAACAAATAGTTTGGAGTCGATTGATCATGGTCCACCATCAACATTATGACTCCACTGATCAAACATGTAACTTGTTTAATGTTGTAGTGCTATAAATCTTGTATTTGAGTTTTAATGGTCTTTCTTTTTTCTGTTCTGTCATTTCAGCCTTAACCGCCTACACGTACCTCACCATCTTTGACCTGTTCAGGTGAGTGTGTTCTGCATCGGCTGTGACATGAGTGTGTTTCCTCTCATGAGCTTTATTCACACATGATTGTACATTTTAACACAGAGAGAGAGAAATAAACCAGAATTTAATGAATAATCCAGCTTCTTACATGTGAAGATGTCATGCTTTATTTGTCTAATATGATGACGAATAGATTTCCTTTTTCTTTTCTTATTTTTATGAAACTGTGATACATTCCTGATCATTTTTGATTGTGTAACAATGTGTGAGATGTGAGACGACACTCGTTGTCTGCTCAGCTGTGTTTTGCTTTTTTTTTTATGGAGAATTTCCACTCATGAAAAATTCATTCTGAGATTATAATGAATAAAAGATAAATGACAGAAGAAGTGAACTTTAGCTGACCTCTCTGTTGTTCTACCATTTGTCTTTTATCTGAAACCTGTGTTTCCTCCCTCAGTTTGATCACATGTCTCATCAGCTCCTGGGTGAGCATGAAGAAACCAAGTCAGGTGTACTCGTTTGGGTGAGTTCACCATAATCATCTTTCTGTCATGCCGTGTTTATCTATATCGTCAAAGCTCCATCTGTGTTTGTTTATGTGCTCTCATTCACTGCTGTCACACACACACACACACACACACTGTAAACACAGATGTAGCATTGACAGAAAAGCTTCAGTTACTGTTGTCTGGCTCAGCCGAACGGCTTTTATGAGAGAGAGAGAGAGAGAGAGAGAGAGAGAGAGAGAGAGAG